TTTACTTTTAATTTTTATTATATTGGCTTTGGGAATAATATATTTGAAAAATCAGAATTTCTTTGATTTTTCTCACTTTTCTTAAATTTTTAACATTAAATGTATAATTTTATATGAAGTTTCTTGTTGCATTTTTGTTGTGAAAAAAGTCACAGAATTGAGTTCATCAACAAACCTAAGCCTATGACATCTGGTGCTCTCGAGGCCGTTTATAATCATTTCTACGCCATTCGCACTGACTCATAACGGATTAGAAATGAGTAGGCGCATATGTTAGTTTATATGATAATATTGTTTGGCGTAGTGCATGCGTATGGCTCGTCCTTATCATCGTTTAATAATATTCTCCCCTTGTTGCTAAACGTATTCGTATGTCGACATTCGGTTTCCAATAATCCGTTGACGTTTGTAGAATTCCAGCGGAATGGATAATTCCATAGCGGTGCGGCGAATAGGATCATTCGATCGTGATTAATTCTCGATACGCGGTGGCGTATGAACACGGTGTAGCCATGATCCGCGTGCGCTTCGGAAACGCGTCATCGAATTTGTTTACACATTCTATAATTTGTGCGACCCGCACGCGACAGCAATTAATAAACATTTATCCCGTCGTTTAAACACGAATTACGTCTACGGTGACGGGCGCAAGGAGCCTTCCTGGAACGCAGACAAATATGTGCGTAGGAACCTGTTGACTTCCGGTAAATCCGGAAACGTTCCGCATGAAACTACGGATAGACGTGAAGCGTTACAAGAGTATTTTTAACTCCGAACGTTAGCTGTCACTTGTAACGCTCGCGTGTTAGGAAGAGAATTTAGCTATTTATAACTCTTAGAATTGTTACGGAAAATTATTAGAATCCTTACAAAATTATTTAATCCAATTTTTGTTTTCTGTTCACGCACAAATATTCAAATCTTTTATTTATATCTCGCAACTGTTTTATTTAACAAAAAATGACGATAGCAACTTCCGATAAATTAAAGCAAACAATTATTTCAATTTAGGTTTTTGTATCACTCGATGCTTTCGATATTACATTATTATTCTTTTCGTGCAATAGTTTTACACTTTCGCATTCATCGACACGCGAAAGTTTGCGCCTCGAAACGAAAGCAAATGAGTAACGTAATCATTCTGCGAAAGTAGAAAAACAAGTATCATGTGTCCACGTATATGATATTAGCCAATTGCGAATACCGTAGGAATATTCCACCTGAAATAGCGAAATATAATAGCGTACACGCCATGGATATATTTGGATATAAAATAGTGTCGTTTGCTTTCGGTTATAGTTTAAGTGCGCAAAAGCACAGAAATGGAACGTGTTGAGTTAATCAGGCGAGAGCAAACAAGCCTCTGCTTTTAGTTGAACACATTGTGTCCCAAGCCCGTTAGCGACGTATCACGCAACGATGATTAATACGATGACCGGGATAATTAACGTCTAGTACAGTTATGATAGCGCGATAGTCCTGACAAGCGCGTCTAATCAGCGCTCATAAAATAGACCGCGAGGGGAAACTCTTGTGTCTAGCTTCTCTATGGTTCCAGCCACCGAACTTTCCTCTGCTGCATTGCAGGCGAAATTATATATTCATGCCGTATCAATTTTTGTTTACTATTCCGCGCATTATCTTAAACTTTAGACGATCTGTAACTCGCGACAACACTTGGCATAAAATTCTGTTTGAAATATCATGTATCGTGTAATACAGAAAATATTTGCAAACTCAGAATACACGCGTAGACAAAATACATATTCGATGTACAGTGCGTATATGTGTGTATTCTAATTTTTTTAATATTTTTATTCGATAAAATTATAAATATCTTCCATTTCTCGAATTATGGATCATCTGAAGCTTAACAATCTTTTAATCCCAATAATAAAATTTAATCCCAAGTAACGTGTGTTTTCTAGTTTTTAAAATATTTTTATTCGATAAAATTATAAATATCTTCTATTTCTCGAATTATGGATCATCTAAAGCTTAGCAATCTTTTAATCCCAAGTAATAAAGTGCATGATTTTAGAAAAGATTTTTTCCTCGTTAGTATATTTATCCTCGTAATAAGATTCACATAAATTGTTAACGATCAAAATTACACAGCATTTTAGTCGCTAATACAACTACGTGATCCTCCGTCTTATGAGCAGAACTATGCTTGCGTTAATTGGCAATTATTTCATGATAACATTGTAGGATCAATACTGCTTGCTAAGTATCGCTGATCCTATTGAATCTAGTATCGGAACAGACAAACGTGCGGTAAATTAACGTAAATTGGCACTTTGCTGCTCAACTAACAAAGCTTTGCAGTACTTTACAGTCATTAAAATAGGCAATGATGCTTGTGCGCGACATTAAAATAAACAACATCAAATAATGCGACTTAAATTATTTGTGATATAAAAATTACACTTGAATTTTTGAAACGAAAAATATTTCTTGAATATTTATGTAAAGCAAATTGCTGTGTATGTCACAAAAACACGCTACTGTTATTATGAAAGCGCGACGTATTTACACAAAACTTTTGTTGAAAGAAACACGTTTAATGGAAACGAATCTCCTTACAGCTCTTTGTAGCTTTCATACTTGTAACGCATGATTGCGTAATAATGATTCACTCGATGACACCACGCGTTGTCCTCGGTATGAGTGTCCCTCGCGAATAACCATGGTTATTATGGTAAACATACTTAACGTTCGGTTGCGAAATGTGCCGTTCCTTTAAACCGGATGAGAGATTTGTCGCTTCATCGGGCTGATAATGTAATGTAATCGGTCGGTTCCCGTTGTTGTCTCAGATGTGGCCGGTCAAGACCTTGCTTTATTTTCGAGAGTTTTGTATCCAATGCAAGTTTCTGTAAACATTACTTCTTTATACATTGACGTTAGCATTCATTATTTTTTATTACATAATTTTTTCTACATTTTTAGTTGCATAATTACTTTTTTCCATAATTTCTTTTAAAATAATGTGATCTCAATCGACTTGTCGCGACATATAACGTGACGTTTACATTATTGCATCTTCATTAATCATCCCTTTCGCTCTAAACGACTGTCCCACATATAATTACAAATTTTAATCATTTAGGTCACAAAAAATTCAAGTAGCGAGATAGGATAATAGCCTTGCGACACAATTAATGAATTAATATCTGTTATAAAGCTCTTTGCGGTTGGCGTCGTTATCTCTCAAAAATTTAACGCGAAGTTGTAACCAAATCCGTATATTATGTGTGGCACTATAAAGCACGCAATTAACAAAGGGCTGTTTATGTGAGGGTTCCTTTGAGCCGGAGACTTTGCTGCGGAGCGGAAAGTTGTAATTGGGTCGCTCCGAACACCTGTCCCCGACCTGTCGTGGGCCACTTAATCCTGAATTGTAACTTAAATATCAAAGGAAAACAGTTTTGTGTCGAGATAATGTGTAACTGACAGAATCACAATAAGACATATTCCATCGATTCTCGATTTTCGCGTTAGTAGAAAAGAAATATTTAATATGTATTTTAAGTGATGGATTTTCTCTTTATGAAATAAAACAGAAAATGTGGAAAAAATGAAAAATATGAGAACTTTTTATTTTTAATATTAAATTATAATTGGTTAATTAATGGAAAAACATTCTACAATTATGATGTAATTATTTCATGATTATTTTATGATTACTGTATGATTTTGTAATAGTTTTGCAAGATAAATATGAATACAGTATGTTGATCGAGTTTAAAATAGTTAAAAATTGAAAGCAGTAAAACATGAATTAAATTCCATTTGTGTTCTGCTTTTATAAATTTTTATTCATTTTTTTAAATCATAAACTAGTATTGTATTTATAAAGTCATCTCGCAATTGTTTTAACTAGATCGATTATTTTTTGTTTTAAATAATTGTTGATACGATTTTACTTTATTATGACAAAATTAGCGTTCGCATCACAGAGGAATAGGTTTCATTAAAACCACTTAAGTAGTCAATTATGACGGACATTCTTACTTTTTCCACATGTCGGCCTTCGGATAGAAATACACGGTCAAAGCTTACTATCGCCTCGGGACAATTTGCTCACAGCACGCATTCATAATACTCCGTCATCTTTCGCGGGTGTGTAACTTCGCCGGTTTTTTCATTTCTCTGAAATGGCAGTAATATTCATAGACAGCGTAACGTTAGCGTGCAACGCGTGCGGTACAACAAAGTCTTTCTTTGTGTAAAATTCACTTTCCAAGTGCGAGCGTCAGAGAAATGGATATTAATTGTCTTAAATGCGTTCAGCGTCAGCTTTCCAATAATGCTGGTAATAACTAACATTTCCTTTAATTTTCCTTGGAGATCTCGATCCGGAAAACTCATTTGTTATCTTGTAAAGGTCAAATCTAAAAATGGAAAGAAAATAATGCTGAAGTGAATTATAACTTAAAACAGAAAAAATAAAATATGATTTTATATAATTATTTTCGTATAAAAATATATATAATATAAATAAAATAAAAAGAAAATAAAGATTTAAAATTGAAAATATTGAGACGCATATGATTTTGAGTCCTTTTTTCTTCAAAGAGATATAAAACTTTGTAACGCAGCTGACGCATTTCCACCACTGGAATGCATGTGCGTTTAAAATAATTTATGAATCATAAATTTGTGAAATTAAACATTTAATTTCATAGGTCAGAGATATAATGAGTACCTCAGAAATATTTTTATCTTTTCCTCCAAGAAGAGGATATGAAGGAGCCTAGGTACAATCGTCTTGACAATGTCATCTTCTTGTTAGCAGACTACTTGTATTCTCGATATTTCGCTTAACGAGCTGTCAGGCAATTTCACGATGAGAATGTCGTTCACCTTCCAATTCCCTCAGGCGACATTTTCATTGGCAGCAGCACATCGCGAATAGTTGCGTCAGAATCGACGTCAGGAGATGTTGGTTCCGCAGACTGGTGACATTAGCTGACCCCTTTCTTTGCTTGTTACAGGGGTGTTGGAGATGGCGGCCACCGAGAGCACGATCCGATTTAGCGGCCACACATTGGATAAAGCGACCAAGGCCAAGGTGAGTTCCGTATTTAATTTCAGTTTGATTATTTCATTAAGATAACAACCGTTCCGCTCTATACATGTCATCATCCATTCAAAACAGATAATTCAACATACATTGTATCCTAGAATATCAATCCTAGAATATCGATTACAGCGACAGGACAGAATTTTCAATACTTTGAAGAGATTTTTTGCAATAATACTTTTGAATAAACAAAATACTTGATGTAGCTTGATAATTTAAAATCTTTCGTATTTTTGTTTAAAGATGAACAACAAGTAAAGAATACAATTTTGTTTGAATAAAAATAAAAAATTGGTTAAGATTCTTTTTAATTTAATTTATTAAAACTTCTCAATTTATTAAGTAACATTGCGAGTGTATCTGCATCTTAAATCTTTTTGATTGTCCTTCGTGAGGAAAAGATGTAAATCCGGAATTTTATTACCGACTTTTATACTTTAATGCAACAAGCTTATAATAGTAACACTATAAGCATAATAATCACTTTGCATAATATAGTAATCCAACTATACAGTAATACCAGCAGAACTGACACTTTAAGATTTATAGCTTTCATATCTTAATGAACCCGATCTCGTGTCTCTAAGGTCATGGTCAGTCGGTTAAAAGGATTATCACATAATAACTGATAATTTAATATTCACGTTCCTAATTGCTATTACGCGGCAAAGTACCTCGTGCGCTCAGGTACGTTTATATGAACAAGAAATGTGGGTCAAACATATCAACAATTTCAATTCCGTTGTATGTACCTAGCAATGTACGAACTATGTTGCTAATTAACGACTGCCGCTTTAACAATATGGGTTATTGCAAATTTTCTATTTGCTTGCGTCGGTAAATTTAATCTATCAGCCGCCATTCAGAAAATTACTGTTAATAACATAATGGAGTTTGCAATTTTGTTTGCTTATCATATTATTATGAATAAAATTATAAATTATAAGCAGTATTTCAGTTGCGATACTACATTCGCAAATTTCATGAAGTACTTCTGTGAAATACTTATTTGTATTTTATTTATTGTGTCATTAAAAAGCTCTGTAACGTCAATGTACCTGAATTTTTCATAATATTGTAACTGAGAAGAAATATATTTAATAATTAAAATGTTGTCTAACACTTTTTTAAATTAATTACACTAAAAGTGTCGAATTGAAATAAAAGGTTGGTTAATGTTTGCGATGAATCATGCTAACTGCTTACCAAATTGCGAAATTTTCCGATTAATTTCAAGCGTTGCTCATTTAATGATTACATATGTCTTCTGAGAAAGATTATCTAAAGTCAAATTAGTCAACTTTTCTCACTAATTATTTTTTGTTACCCAATGATTGCTTAACATGTGTCATTTATTGCTGATAATACTCGATAATTTCATTCATAATAATTATTGACTGTTGCAAAATAAAAAATTGTCAATGTGCTTGTACAAACTTTTAGATGAAACAAACGGAGTTGTTATAAGTTTGGTAAACTGTGTGTGAAAATCGGAAAAAGTTCTGTGCAGCTGTCCTTTGGAGAAATAAAACATGTTGCAAAGTAAAAAATTTTAACTCGTTGCACTGGACAGAAATTTCTTTTTTTTTCTGCAAATGAGCTGAGTGAACGTGCATTTAGTTTCTTTAAAATCAAAATATTGAATCGATTTTAGCGGCAAAATTAGAAGCTATTTATGAGCATTATTTGAACATCGAACAATTAGAAATTTATGCGCGCTTTCCTACATGGTAATGTTGGAAGCCTGTATTTGGACTAAATAAATTATGTCCATTATTTCTAACACAAAGCCTCCCGACAACGTTTGTATCACGCATACTGAATAGGTTTTTATAGACATTGATATTGAACTGCAACTATCGGTTTATCTCTTGCTTTGTTACGCAGCCAGGGGCAATTAGTTAAATTTATTATTCCGTCTGATAGATTAAATTCAACCTCCGCTAGTAGAACATGAATGTTATTTATGAATAAATAAATACTCTATAATTGTCAGATGAGGCCTCTTTGTGTTTCACAATTGTTTTATATTTTAATCACATAAATATACACACATGATAAAGGTATACGCGTTGGTAGCTGCGGAATGAAAAGCAGAGAAGATCCGTTTTTGCTATTTTTTGTCGACTTACGTTTTAACAATTCGGCACCGGTTATAAGTGTATGCGCGTGTCTATGTAGCACGTGTTGCGTAATGTTATGTAACGATTACGATAATACGATCAGCTGACCGATATGAATATAGAAATAGGACAGTAGGTCACAAAAGGTTATTGACTCATATATTGCATTGTTAGTCAACTTCGGTTAAAATCGGGATCACTCGGGATGCTGTCGACACGGATCGATACGACAGCCCGAAATTTTAAGCGACGGTCGCGGTCAGTCGTGGTGAAGAAAGATTAAAAATGGAGATTATTTGCGACAAGTCCTGAATTGTTCACGAGTGGATGAATAATTTGTGAGGTGTTACTGCTTAATTGCAAAAATAAAATGATCATTTTGGCAATATAACAGACGCGAAACAGTTGCTTGCCGGCGCGCCAAATTTATAGATTAGGTTGATGTGTATTCGTAGGCAGGCTGCATGTGATTTGACATGAAACACGACCGTGTTTTCTTGACACGGCTTCGCAGTTGCAGCGAACATCTTTTAGACATTTTATATATACGCCCTGAGGCCAAGCGTCTTCGGACGAACGATGCGTATACTGAAGGGGTTAAAAGTTTCATGCATTCACCTAGCGTTCGAGCTGCTAGTTTGTGGCAGTTTTTAAGATTTTGCAAGGCAGCTTAGTTTTATTGCTTTTAACTATTCTGTCAAGATTATGCATTACTCGGCTTTGTATAGATTATAAAAACCATCTTACGATAATATGCGGTAAAATTTTTAAAGAGATCAATTAGGTTGTTTTTTGTGATTAAAAACATCACTGATTTCGAGAAAGCAGAAAAGTCTTTTTCGTCAATTTTTTTTATGTTGTGAATTTTTATACTTAGAAATGGCAATTAATACTTCATGTTGAATATCATGTATGCGAAACTATTCCGAATATAACGTGCCACGCAGAGAACTTTCAAACGCATAATAATTCTCTCAGATTTTGTACTTATTCGAATACAAGAAATTTAATTAAATATAGTTTGTTATCACTAGAATTTAAATTAAAATAAATTAAGCAACGAAGTAGTTTAATCAAGAATATTCTAGAATTTTTGCAATTTATCCGCGCGGCAACTTGAAGAATACAGCACAAGTTCTGAAGCATTTCACAACGGCGAACGCGAACCTGATCTTGCAGTGCATAATAATCGCGCTAACCGTGGCAGCCGCGCGCGGCCAGCGGAAGTGGTTTTGTCGTGGGAGATAAAACGTTATCGATCGCGTTACGTTTGTGCTCTGGCGACATCGGAGCAGGAGAAACGTTATCATATGGTTTCGATCATTAACGTCGTGGTTTGCCTCTTTTTCAGGTGACGCTAGAGAACTATTACAGCAATCTGATAGCGCAGCACATCGAACGGAAGCAGAGGTTGGCGAAGCTCGAGGAGTCCCTCAAGGATGAGGGTCTCTCAGAGCAGCAAAAGCAGGAGAAGAGGCTGCAGCATGCCCAGAAGGAGACCGAGTTTCTTCGGCTCAAGCGGTCTAGGCTAGGCGTTGAAGATTTCGAGCCTCTCAAGGTTATCGGCAGAGGTGCCTTTGGCGAGGTAAGAAAAGAAGAGAGCACATTTGTGATGTATGACGACTAATGAGCGAGCAGATTAGGAATTAGTTTAATCGCTAACTTGGCTGGCTGCGAAGAATTCCAAAGCGATAAATCTCGCGATAAAATAAAACGATAACTTGTGATATAGTGTAAGAAATTTATATAATACATTTTATAAAATATATTTCATTATTTTTTCGAAAGTATATAATTTGCGAAAATTTAGAAACATTTAAAAGTGAAAGAAAATGGCAACTGTTTTTTAAAATAAGTATTAAGTAACAAAGTATTGTTGAGAAATCTCATTTAATGAGAAATGTAAATTTTAAGTGGCATCTTAAATGACGTACGTACGTCATGAGCGATCGTGTGCGTGTCATATGTAAATTACCTGTAGTTCACGCGACGATTTGATCACATTAGTGTGAAAATTAAACTTTGCTTGTAATTACAACAATTATAATAATAGCAGAAGACTCTCAAAGCGGCGGTCACGTCCACGAGAAAGCGAAATTACTTCATTATTTCTAAGAAAAAGTAGTACTTCTCGGTTCGCGGAGCAAGTGGAATTCTTTTCGTACAAAAATCTAAAATTAGACGAGAGAGAACGATTTTAATCGCTCGCGACAGAAATCTCGCTGACATTTTCACTTGAAACGTGCTCTTCTGTGGAACAAAAAATGAACAGGTGAGACTCGTGCAAAAGAAGGACACCGGACACGTGTACGCGATGAAGATCCTTCGGAAGGCGGATATGCTCGAGAAGGAGCAAGTCGCGCACGTCAGAGCGGAGAGAGATGTCCTCGTGGAAGCGGACCATCAATGGGTCGTAAAGATGTACTACAGTTTCCAGGACCCTATAAATCTCTATCTAATAATGGAGTTTCTTCCTGGCGGTAAGTCGCGCTATTGATCCCCGCGCCGGGGGCTGAAAGTGGGAATTTCTATTTCTGAGCGTCACGGATACTCAAGCGGCATGAATTACAGGTGACATGATGACGCTGCTCATGAAGAAGGATACGCTTTCCGAAGAATGCACGCAATTTTATATTTCTGAAACGGCGTTAGCGATCGACTCCATACACAAATTAGGTTTTATTCATAGGTGCGTAAAAAAATTGAGTAGATATCTGTACCGTCATTGAGTGAAACTACTTATTAATCACTGGCTCGAATCTCTTGTTCTAAACATACTTGTAAACCATTGATTTTTTATTTTTCTTACATTTATGTGATGAGTCGACGATTCGAAATTTTGAAATTGCTTAATTTTATATATGTATTCAAATGTGACATGTAAAATATAATACTTTCGCGTGATTAAATATAAATAATTGTTTGTATTAATTTAACTACACTTTACAGAGACATCAAGCCAGACAACCTGTTGCTGGATGCACGGGGCCACATAAAACTCTCTGACTTTGGGCTGTGCACGGGTCTGAAGAAGTCGCATCGGACCGATTTTTACCGAGACCTGAGTCAAGCGAAACCTTCTGATTTCAGTAAGTTGGTCGTTTCTCGCATGCGTCAAAGAGGGATATTTGCGTGGCTGTTCCATTATGATTTAACTGATGCCTCGCCTATTTTTCACTCAGTGACATCATGCGGGAGTGGAAGCGGCGGCGCGATGGATAGCAAAAGGAGAGCCGAGAGCTGGAAGAGAAACAGGAGAGCGCTGGCTTACAGCACGGTAGGCACTCCAGACTATATCGCGCCGGAAGTGTTCCTGCAAACAGGTTACGGACCGGCTTGCGACTGTTGGTCTCTGGGAGTTATTATGTACGAGATGCTTATAGGTATGACGCCTTTGGTATTTTTCCATTTAAATAAATTTCCGCTTTGGAAAGTGCTTAATCGATGAAAAATAATCTGTCATATTTATATGTACTTGTTTTTTTAATCTTTAAATAGACTTACACGCTTTTGTAACAATTATATATTTATTATATAAGCTAATTAAATGCAAATACAATTCAATTCATTAAATTAGAAACAGCTATAATTACTAACGGAATAGACATGTCTTAAGTACTGCGAGATTAATTTATATTCGAGTCGATAATAATGCAATTATTTCAGGATATCCACCGTTCTGCAGTGAGAATCCGCAGGAAACGTATAGAAAAGTAATGAACTGGCGTGAGACGCTGGTGTTCCCGCCGGAAGTCCCCATTAGCGAAGAGGCTAAAGATACGATTATCAGATTTTGCTGTGAAGCCGACAGAAGATTAGGTAAATCTGCGAGTTTTCATCTCGGAATTATTAAAATAGAAAATCCCTCTGGCGACAACAGTAACTGATCCTTATTGTTTCAGGGGCGCAAAGAGGTATCGAGGAACTCAAGCTGGCACCCTTCTTCCGCGGTGTCGATTGGGAGCACATTAGAGAAAGACCAGCCGCCATACCGGTCGAGGTGCGATCCATCGACGACACGTCCAACTTCGACGAGTTTCCAGATGTGAAATTGGAAATACGTACGTCCAGCTTTTTTTTCGTCCAACATCATCGTTATATTTTGATAGCTTCAGCGAACGAAACACACTAATCACTTCTTTATTTTACTTCATTGCAGCGTCCGCACCGATGCCACAGGACGGCGAGGTGATATACAAGGACTGGGTGTTCATCAATTACACCTTCAAGCGCTTCGAGGGTCTGACGCAACGGGGCACGCCGACCAAGAAATAGCAACCCCTCACTTCCTGCTCGATCACCAGCGCCGCCGCTAATCAGCAGCCAGCTGACGTGATCGAAATTCCGGCCTTGGTACATCATCCGCATCCGCCGTCGTCGACGGCAATGGCGCGCACGGCGGACGGCTGACCTATCTCGCTCCCGAGCGCGATTCGAGCCACTCTTATTTGTATATACGTGATGAGCACGGGTTGTCATGAATAAGCGCGACATTATCACGACGAATATCGACGATCACGACTAAGCGGCGACGAGCGCGGCCAGCCAGGCAGACAGATACGAGAGAGTATAGTGGATAGGTAAGGTGCACAATATACAAACGTCGCGCGTCCACGCATGCGTCGACGGTGACGCGGCGCGCGTGATAAGGCGACGCGAACGAAGTCTTTCGTTGTGTGACTCACGGTGTGCATCCTCGTGCATCCTCATCGAGAAGCATCATTCGATACTTGCGTGCCGCGGAAGAGGCGCTTTTGTGCGAAGCGTAGCATAATCAGCTCTCTGTGGTAATGGTATTAAACGGAGACGATCGGAGGGAGCCTCGGTTCCGTGGTCCTCACAACTCACTTGCCTTTTAGTTGTCTCTGCGACGCGCGTCAAAATGGAATTTTACTGGGGGAAAATATATTTGTCAAAAGTAATGTGTGCGGCTAAGCTCTCGAATCAAGCTCTCTTTCCCTTCTCTTTCTTTCTCGCTCTTTTCCACCTTCCTTTCTTTAACTTTCTCTCTATTTCAAACATTATATTTATAATTAACTCTCTGTGATATGTGAAGTTGTTGAAAATCTCTGCTATATTTCGGACCTTCTTATCTGTTGGTGGTTACTATGTTTTTATTGATGTTATATATATATATAT